CAATTTCTGATTCTGCTGCCATGTGCTGGTGGAAGAGAACCCCTGCTGGCTGTGAGCAGTGCCAGGTCACCACTGGCATTACCCCTTGGCACTGACATAGGATGACTGGGAGTCAGCACAAGATATGAAGGGAATATACTGTGTTCCTGCCATTCACAGCCCACAGAACTGTCTCCAGGGACTATTTTTTCCTGATGTAACTAAAAGCCCTTTCATCCAAATCTGCTTTTACAAAGCCCAACTACCCCTGAACTTTCTTGTTTCATTATCAGGACAATGAGGAGGTAAGTCACTTGAGAAATTCCATCCATTTTGAAGAAAAATCACCCCATATATATTTTAAATAATCTTTACCTGGGAATTTAAGTGGATGATTTGTGTAGAGGTAGATAATGACACTATCCTTTCCACTTGCTCTGTTGAAAGAGCTGTATCATCCAACAAGGGAGGAAATGTGGTGGCAGTCATTTCTTAAACCATCTCAATGGTGCTTTCAAGTGAACATCTTTCCAAAGTAATAATTTCTTCCTGCTCTTTGTCAAAGTGCTTTTCTGCACCTTTGTCAGCTGCAATTGACTTTTTGGAATAGCAAGAGACTGCTAAAAAATAATCTGGATGCGGTCTCAATAGCACCCTACACAATGGCACCTCTGCTAAAATGTGTCTTGGAAAGAAAGGGAGAAATTAAAAAAAAATACTGCACATAGTCTATACACATAATTCCCTCTGTATAGATCTACATAAATACAGAACCTAGATAAATATGTATGTGTTCTATACATGGTTCTATTTAGATATATAGAAAGACATATATAAAGACATAAATCCTGTAATGCACTTAAATACATAAGTTTAAGAAATGAGGAATGCCAGTGATTTGAACCAAATGAGTGAATATTCTATATATAAAGTTTGATGCTGAACTGGAACTGTGGATGAAAAAATCTGAATGAAGATTAATCATTACCTGTACTGAAAATTAACTTCACAAAGAAAAAAGTATTAATGTAAAATATCAGACCACAAGTACAGTGAGAAAGGTCTATCCCCCGCTCTGTTAAATGCATGTTTCAAGCCTCAGTTTACTGTTTGCTTCATTTTATATTTGGTATCTAAGCAAGTCATAATAAGAATAAGATAAAAAGACATGTGACAGCTTAGTATAAATTAAGAAATAATTTAAAGCTTTTCAGAAATGCATGTTGAGTGACATCAGTGAAAACTATGTTGATGAAAGATATAAACTGAAATTCATTATGCTACACATAACCAGCTATACTTAGGCATGAAATCTATCTCTAGCAACTGCTACTAAACAGTTTTGGCCTCTTGAATAAAAATAAAAGTCACACTTACTAAATTTAAGCAATTTTTCTGGGAAGTAGAGACTTTTTGTAGGAATATATGGACACTGATATGCCCAAGTAAATGGCAGAACTGTTCAGTGGTCTTCTGTGATAGTTTTTAATTTGCAGATTTAAGTCCAGGATTCTGTGGTAGTTACTTCAGGTAACTCCTACAAAACATAGCATTATAGTCCCACCATTAAAATCAATAACAATATTCTCAATTATTTTAAATTATGAAGACTATACAGTTTGGGGTTTTTTTTTAGTTTTACCTCATAGTAATAATGGTGGCACTTTGGATTAATAAGCAGAATTGTTACTGGGTATTTTGTTTGAACTGCAGACTAGAAGCTAAACAAGACAGGAGTGGAGGTCCCATAAGCAGGATTTTGGAAGAGAGGTTGTAATCGCTGAAGTATCTTTTGGGTTGATTTCAACTGGACTGGTTCCCTCAACAATCTGTCTTGATAAACCACCCAAATCCTAGGACAAGAAAATGTGTGGAAGTGGGGACACAACAAAGAAAATGAGACCCTCCTCTGCAAGGTAATATGGATTTATGTTGTGTTGAAGTGACCTTTGGAGGCACTCCAGCCTGAGCCACTGATTCTCCAACAGAACCACTGAATTGAAAACTACATATTTAAAAACTGACCTCTTGTTTTAGGATTCTTGCTCAACTCCAAACCAAATTTCAGTTTTGTTCAGTCGTCATCCACAGAAGATTCAAGTTCCAAACATCACTACAAACTGCTTCCAAAGTATTTAATTTTATCTCCCCCATACACTATACAAATGTGGAGTCACTGAGACTTCTTTCAGTTATTATATTTGAGATTTTTTTTCTGAAAACACGGTCCATCTGTATGCAGAGCGATGTGCCCCAACAGATTCCATGTTCCAAAAGCTAGAAAAAAAAGTATTTCATTCTCCTGGGAAGGATAGGTCTTGGTACAACACATTAAAACATATCTATTGTTCCAAATAAAGATTTTATCACAAGTCAGGAAGTGGACTGAACTAGTAAACAGCAGTAACCCATATAATTATGCTTTGTCAAAATTGATAAATAGCAGGCCATTAAAAAAAACCACCAAAACCCAAGATTTTACACAAATTTGTATAGATAACCATTAATCAGTTAGGGTTTTGTTTGGTTGGGTTTTTGGGTTTGGTTTTTTTTTTTGGGGGGGGGGGGTTTTTTTTGCTTTTCTTTGTCTAATTTCATTCAGGTTGGTTTCAGTCTATAAATTTACAACATATATCTCAATATCTGAAATACTGTTCAGGCCAAGCCATGATGATTGTGCATGTACATGCATATTTACAAAAAACCCTGACTGCTAAAAATAAGCCATCCTTGATTCATATAAGTCTTATTTACTTATTTAACATTGCACCCAACTCCGAGTATGGAAGGAGTTTATCACTTTAGTTTTCATAACCCAGCATGCAGTTGTCACATTTATCCCTCTAATAGAGTGTGCACTGCTTATGCATAATATAACTTCAGCTGTAATTTGAACCTATGGTTATGTATTTTCAGAGCTTGACTGGAGCAGAGGCTCCACAGACCTAGCTTTAAGCAGTTTTGTGTATGAACACATGTAAGTTATGTGCACTTTATATGTGTAAGCTAGATCCCACCTGTCCAAAAAAATCAGATTTGTTATCCGGCGTGTAACAAGCCAATAATTATACACTCAAGAGAGACATTGATTATTTATTTCTGAGTTGCACAAGCCTGGGCACTTGGTGATATTCCAGAAATCAAACACCTCGACTATAAAAACTTCTTACTATTTATACATTTTAGCAAACAATGGAGACAATGTTCATTTCCTACAAGTTACAGAGTTCTCTTATTAATTAGTATTCTTTAGCTAGTGATTCTCTCGCTTCTTATGCTAATTAGTCTGCATGCTCAAACTTTCTCTTCTTTTGGGTCTGGGGATTTCCTGGGTCCACGGTCACCGTCTGCCCCTGCCGGAATTACCTTCTACCCAGCGGGAGCTGATTTAGCACAGTTGGCTTTTTAAGTTTTTTGCTTATCTCGGGTGTTCTGCCAACTGTTTTCGTGGCCCGTAAATTCTGCATCCTTTGTGCCCACGACTAGTGAGTACATCCTTCTTCCCAAGCCTCGTTAACCTCCCCCGAGGTCTGAGAGCACTGGAACATGTCCAGCCCTACACCTTAACACGGCACTTCTACCATGAAACTTGTCTTCCTAACACTGGTCACCACTTAGAGCTTGCTAGGCATTCTCTGTTTCACAGATTAATTCTCCATTCTTGTTGATTGGATTTCAAACTATGCAAAGATCAAAGAACATCCCTTCTTAAGCAAAGTTTACATCTTTCGCATTTTGCAACACCTTCAAGCCTGTCCCTGTGGGAGAAATGGCTCAGCCCTGGGGCTCCCATAGCGGCAGGGTGCCCCAGCGGCTCTCCCACGGGGATAACCCGGGATATCCTGCGGGAAACCCGGCGGGGGAAGGGGCAGAATGCCCCAGCGGCTCTCCCAAAGGGATAACCCAGGATATCCTGCGGGAAACCCGGCGGGCGAAGAGGCAGGGTGCCCCAGCGGCTCTCCCAAGAGGATAACCCGGGATATCCTGGAAGTGGTGGAAGCGGCGCATTCCCCTCACGGCCGCCCCGCCCCAGGCGGACCCACCGTGGCCACGGCGCATGCGCGCGGGCCGAGGCGCGGGGCAGCGGCGCGCGCGGCGGCGGGCGTGAGTGAGGAGCCGGTGAGAGGAGCCGGGGCGGGCGGGAAGGAAGGCAGGCAGGAAGGAAGACCGGCCGTGAGGAGCAGAAGGGGCAGACCTGCTTCTGCTCCACCTTCTCGGTAGGAATCGGTGTGGGAGCGAAACTCGCATCAGGCTGAGCCGCCCCTTAGGCCGGGAGCACCCTCAGGCTCACACGCGTGGCGGAAGGAGCCCTTAAGCCGCGCTCGATGGAGGCCGGGGGTCGGCATTCCCCCTCAGCCAAGGCACGCCCGTGCCGGCCAGGGGACTTGTGGGGCCTGAGGGGACGCATAACCGTGCTAATCTCTTAAATTCAGTCTTTTTTGTATGTTATTTTTTTTGTTAGAGTGTGGAAAGGCTGCCAGCTGTAGGTATGTTAGGACCAGTGAGTTGAGAGAAATCCTAGTAAATCATGAGGTCCCGCCATGGAGTTTAACTTGTGCTCTTCACAGCCTTACTCGGTCTCAGCTGAAAAGTGATTTTGGCACCTTCCAGGTCTTGTTAGTGTCACACCTATACCTTCCCCGGGCTGGAACACCCTTAATTCAGGCTTTGGCCGATACTTACCTTTTGTTATCATTACCATTTAATCTAAATGAATTATTGTGTGAACTCGTTGCTCTAGGCATCCTTTCTCTTGTGAGCACATGAATGGGGTGCTGTTGGAGATTAAGACACCTACGTATAGCCAGTAGAGATGTAGGTTTTATTTCGCGGGCTGAAATGCGTGTGGTGGAAGTTGCTGTTTGCAGGCGGGGCTGGCAGATACGGGGCGGGCAGAGGGAAGTTTGCCTGGGAGTGGCGTTGAAAAGCTGAAGTGCTTTATGGAGTGCTTTAGATGAGTTTAGGACACAGTCAAGCCCTATTCTTATGTAGCCAGTGGAGCAAAAGGGCTGTTTTTTGTGTTTTGTTTTTTTTTTTTCCTTACATTTACACAAGGTTTTCAGCCTTTTCTAGAACTTTTCCCCCACTTGTTTGTCCTTGGTTTTAGAGGCTCCTGTCATAATTTTTTTCTTTCCGTCCTTGAAATAACTAGTTAATTTTTTAACTTAATCAAGCTATTTGGATTTTTGCATCTTCATTCCATTTTGAATGGATACCTGAATAGGTATGGTGGAAAGATGCACAGCCCATTCAAAGCTGGTAAAATACACCAAGGCTCTTTGTATGATTCTGTGTATAGGAAATAGTTGGCTTGATACATATGATTGTGGGGTTTTTTTGCCCCTAACAGCAGCATTACTTTGACTTTCCATACTTAATATGCGATTGACTTATAAATAAACATATTTTTCAAGTTACTTCAGACTTAGTTTCTTGATATCTAACTGTAGTCCTTGTTATATGTGATGTGATTACTTTAAAGTAGGTGTAATGCAAGTACTAAATTAGTTATATCATTAGTGATATAATTTTTTTCCGTATTAATTCCATTTATTTTTCTGTTGATGATTCTACAATCCCAGCTTTTACTTTAGAAAACACTGAAGGCAAAGTGTAAAAATAAAAGAAAAAATATTTTCTCAAATAAATTTATGGAAATACTGACCAGAGATTTGTCCCAAAAGGAACTCTCTTTTAAGATATTTTCATAAATACATTTATATTTACAAACCTCCTTGTAGTGCAATCCACTACTGCATTTTCCCTTCAGAAAAGTTTGATTTCCCTTTACCTTGCTCTTTCTGATTTCCTTCTGCTAACCTAATATTTTTTCCTGTGCTGTTGTACTTATAGCCAGCATAATATATTTGCCTGTAAATACTTACATTTAAAACAGTTGGGAGTGGTTTGTTTTATTGTCTTTGTCTTGATAACATACAGATAATCCTGTTACTTGATATCTTTATTGCCTTAATGAAATTTCCAAGCTTTCTTTTTTATTGCGTTGTGTTTGACAAAGTCAGAAACCAGCTGTTGAGGTTCAGTTCTGTCTGCATGTTGTCTGTATCACAACAGGTAAAAGTACCATCTTTCCAGCAGTTTTAGAAGTGCAAAGAATATCATTGAGGTGTTTTTCTATGTTCTGTCACTAAAATCCAGCCTTCCCAGTGTTACAGCAATCAAGACCTTTGTTTTTCTTTATCTAGTCCTTGTCTAAAAAGTAAATTTGCATTAATATTAGTTTTATGTAACTGGTTTGGACTCCTACTGTTTTTAAAGAGCATTTCCAGTCTTTACCATCAACTGGATTTTCTTCATATGCCTATGTTCCTTTCCAGATGGGGTTAGCATTCCTGTTAGCAACTAGAGGTCTATTACTTTGTCATCCTTATCTTTCCTTATGTCCCACCTCTTTCCTGTTGTTTGATGATCACCTTCCTGATCATCATTCCTGCTCAGGGAAGTGATGGTCTATGACTAAGCTACTCATTTTTATTCTCTTGCTAATTTTAAATGTTTATAAAATCAGAATTAAATGTGTAATTCCTCAGTTAACTAAACTAGGATAATTCTTTCTTGTACTGATGTGCTCATATCCTGTATACCTTTATATTTTGATTTGGTTTTTTTGATTTTTTTCTGGTGTAGAAATGTCTGTATAGTTATGTAGTTAAGTCCAGTTTTTACCAAGTCTTTTAAGTCTATCATAGTTACATGCTTATCTTGAACTAGAAAGTCTGTTTAAATTTTCTGTCGATTCCTTTTCCTTTTATGCGTATAGATGCAAGTGATAACGGAAACCTTTTATTTTCCAGATCACTGTATTTCTTATCTCTGCACCTCAAAAGGGACATGCATATTTAGGACTAACTACAGGACTAGCAAAATGCCTAATCTTGAACATCCAGCGTACCCAGCAGCTGACCTGCTTCACTTGGAAAGTTTGGTGCCTTGTCGAGAATCCCAGGTGTCCATGTTGCTGTCAATATTTGGCGAGGTAGTGCTCATGTATTCCATGTTTGACTAGAACAAAGACATTCTGCTGTCTCAGGGGGGACAATACAAAATTAAGTGTGTTTTTGTGATGTCACTATGAATGTGCTTTGGTTGCCTCATTGTTGAAGTTTAACCATCTTTAACATTAGAGTTTGGCAGTAGGTTCTGGTATGTCGGAAGGTTGAAAGATGTCTTGCAGCTGGAAGGACCTAAACAAGCTTAGAGCTATTTGTGTCTTTGTCTCTCTTAATTCTGATTTTGTCACAACTCTATTCTCTCTTTGTCAGTTACTACCAGGGAATAAGTCTCTTCCTCCTAGACCTAAAGTTCTGGGGTGATTTTTTTCAATGTCAGTGTGGAAAATCTGTTTGGTTTTGACCTGTTAATCTAATATCTGAGTGTCTGAATTCTAAATACATTAAATTGTTCTGATAGTTAGTAGTTTTGAGACTGGTCATAAGAGTTAGAAACCACTGGCTTGTTAAAAGAGTCTGTTACTGCTTCACAAAGCTGTGGTAAAAAGCTGTGGATTTTTAATTGCAAACTTATAAGCAGTTTGCTTACAGAATGTCTGCTTACATTCAGTAACAAACTGGAAGTTAGTATCTGTTTTCTGTCTCTAATTATGGATACTAGTAATAATAATATCAAATTACAGTATTCATATTTTACGTATGTTACAAGCATAGTGGCAACAACTCTTAAATATAGATACTTCAATTCTTGATCAATGTTGAGATACTCAAATCTGCATGTTGCGCACAGCGGTGTTTCTTACTTCAGGTAAACTGACTATTTTTTTTCATAAAAAGTGTCAGTTTTATTTTTATATTAATTTTTAAGGCAATATACTAAATTCTTAGAAATTAACACAAAAACCTGTGTTTTCATTTTCACCTGTGTGAAAACCTGTTCAGAATGGAGCAAAAGAATAATTTAGTTATTTTCCCTGCATCTTAAAAAAACTATATGAAATGAACAACATCAGGACCATTAAATAAATAGATACATCAAATATTACCTTGTGAAAGAAGAGCAAGGTTTACACCTCCTTTACACCATTTAATTATTTGCCATTTGGTCCTAATGAAAGGCAATTTGTAGCATTTGCAGAAGCTAGGAGAATGTAAGACTTGCAATTTGTGCTTGCCACATGTTTCAGTTAGTTAATTATATTGAATTAAGAGCCCACTGCTTTTCTGTGTGTGTGCTTCTGTTGTTTGTTAGAGCAGTTTCACTGGCAGGTATGTGATATTGATTCTTGCGACTTGCCCCCCAGCATTTCAGAGAAGATGTAACATAAAACTTGATCTGTATTCCATAATAATTACTGTGTTTTATATTTAATGCCTCAATTAAGGAGATAACTTTTCTTTCAGGGGGAAAGTTAATTTTTAAATCTTTAATTTTTGTATGAAAAGAAGAAGAATTGAAACAATAACAATTTTTAATTTTTTTTCCCCTCAGAGACAGCAGTTTAGTTTTCCATGCATCTTTATCTATGGACACACAGCTAGTGGAAAGACATATGTTATGCAAACTCTTCTAACTACCTTACAGGTAGGAATGGTCACAAAGGATATTGAATTTACAGTTTATAACCATGGTTCCTCAAAATAGCCTCTACTTTCTCAAAATGGTTTGTTTCCTCAACCATTTCTGCCTTCCTGATTCTTCTCCTCCACTTACTGTGTCATGAATGCATCACTCTGCTCGCTAGGTCACTTAGCATAAAATGAAATTTTGCATTCTGAGATATAATATAAATCATAATAACCTTTTTAAGGAAGTTTAAAAAAGATAAAAAAGGAGGCAAATATTATTCACCTTGTCTCTATGACTTAGCCTGAAGTAGCTCCATTGACTCCTTGTTTTAGTTTTTTTCCAAAACATGTTTTGGAAAGTCCTCCTAAGTTGTAGGGTGTCATTACAGAAATTCCCATCTAGATCTGTTAATACTTTTGTCAGTCATGAAATTCAGGGATTTAAATCCAGTGACAGGTGCCAACTACATGCCTAAACTATAAATTTCCACTTGTGTGTTTCTATAGCCCCGATACTTTTGGCTTGTCCAGAGTGAGCTTATCATTTGATCTGCAGGTTTTATGCAGGAACCCCTTTCATTAAAAGTTCTGCAGAGGGAGAAGAGTAGAAGGGGCAGGGGTTTATGATCCTCTTCCATGAAGCAGGCTTTGGTGCCTTGCTCACAGCACTGAGCTGACCTCTCACACCATATCCGAAGGTGTGGCCAGGCCCTGAGAAGTGTCTGGTTTGAGCAGCAGCTGTCTCTACAGAACTTCTTGTGCCACGTCTGGGTGTCTCCTCTGTACTGTGGTGGTGTGAATCACATCTGAGGCACCCAACTTTCCTTCTGCTATGGAGATGCAGCACTTTGAATAGCTGCTTTTTGGTGATGTAGCCCTTTCCTTTTCATGGTGTTTAAAATCATAGAACAGCTTTTTATTGCATGCTGTGTGAGTGGATTACCAGCATGTACCCATACTTCCCTGCATCTGCTGAATCATTTTAAGTAGGAAGACTGGAATGAAGTACTTGATTTTTTTTTTGTTATAGACAACCACATTCCTGCATCCCAGTGACTAATGTTTTCCAGAGGTTTTAATGTTCAGTGTGAAAAAGAGCATCTGCCTTAGCAGAATGTGCAGATAAGCTGTGTCTTAAAAATAGGGTTGCTAGAAAATTATCTTTTTTTGCCTTAGGCAAGTTTGACTACTGGTATTATTTTATGGGTTGTAGTGCCTTCTATTTAAAAACAAATGACTGTAGATTTTCAATATCATGAAATTGATACTTATAATGTTCTCATACTCTGTTTTTTTCACTCCCTGTTTGCTTGGAAAGATCTGTTTCTTTGAAAATGTTCTGGACAATCATGCTGATGACATGAGTCTGATATAGAAGCTTACACTTTATCATTTGTGTGCATTGAATGCAAAAAATGTTCACAGTAGTTCTGGGGAGTATGCTGGGGAGATTACTTTCTTTGAGATGTCTGTGTTTTCTAGACACCTTGTAATAAGCCATTACAATTTGTAATAAGCCATTTTATAATACTGTAATGTCTTATAGTTGTCTAAATTTCTTTGCGCTAAATGCTGTTTGGTTTACTTTTTGTCTGTTGCTCACAATTTTTCAACATAGTTAAAGGATGCGTTGTGCTTCAGTATTTAAATATAATTCAAAGGTATACTTCCATTTGAAGATTCATCAGCTCTCTCTTCAGTTTGTCTTGATACATAATATTTTGACTAGGTACATAATTGATCTTTTTTTTAACAAGTTATTTTAGTTCTTACTTGTAATATATTCTGCTGACAGGATATGGTTTCTTTGGTTTTTTCATATGGAAGTGAAAACTCTTTCTGGAGCATTTACATTGAAAAAGCCAAAAGCAGTTGTGTAATTATTCTTGTTCTCTTCAGCTTCCTCATGTGTTTGTGAACTGTGTGGAATGCTTTACATCACGACTTCTGCTAGAAGAAATTCTCATCCAGCTGCAAAGCTGTTCGTCTGGCACAGAGCAGACCTCTCCTGTGCGTTGTGATACTTTGAATGACTTTGTTCGTCTCTTTAAACAAGCTGTGGACAGTCAGGAGGTTCAACATCAAACATTATACATTGTAAGTAATTTCATTTTAATGTCCAGTCCCATTCCTGCTAAGAGGGTGTGAGTAATGGTTATTGATATTTTTTATGTGAAATGTGTGCCTTATAGAGCAGTTTGCACAAAATTTCTCCACAGACCTTATTCAGAACCTGTTGAGAGGTTCTTTCTGTTGGCTTACAGGCTTTAGGTGAGGTTCTGTACTTTTCCTGGTTTTAGATTTTTTTTTCCGACACAAAAACTGTATAGCATAACTAATAATGAACATAAATTATATTACACATTTAAATTCAGGACGTAGTACTGTTACAAAGTCTTTAAATATAGAGAGCCTACATTTGTTTTATTATTAGTAAGTCGTGCTTATCTGTTTCTTTGTGAAAATAGCATCACAAATGAGAAAGCAGAGGTGGGGAATAGGGCAGAAGGGAATATGGAGAATGGAATTGACAAGGCTTGGTTTGCTAGAATGAAATTTAAGGATAATATTAAGGAACTAAAATGCATAATTTCCTCTGTAAAAGTGCTTTTGAGATCATACATGTTCAGCTACACTTGTGGCCCTCAGAAACAGGACCTATAGTTTTAAAATTAAGATGAGAGAAAAAAAGGACTGCAGTAAAAAAAGTGGTGATATGCTCAAGTGGAATAAACAGCAGATTGCAGGAAAATAATCAGAATTTAGGTTGCAGGAACGATTTAATCAGTGTAGTACTAGAACACTATGATTGGGTTTAGGTCTTTGGGGTTTTTTATTCTGATAATCTTAACTACATAAAAGAGTCAGAATTTGCAGGCTGTAACAGCATTTATTGTGTTGAGAGGTGAACATGGAAACAAATTTCAGTCATACAGAGGTCTGATGAAAGGTCACTATGGAAGTTGTAGCATTAGTGATGTGTAAATGTATATATATAGTGTGGACCTGCAGAATATACTGACTAAAATTTTAGGCCAGCAGTAGGAATTAAGGTTTTTTTTAAAAGAGTTGAAATTGAATATTAAGAAAACAAGAACATGGTTAAGATTGGTTGCTGTGAGAAACATGCAGTATGATTACTTAGGGTCATTAAGCTCTCAATGTGCCCATACTGCTTTAGGGTTTTTTTGCAGTCAAACAAGAAGTTCATAGTTATACTGAACATTCTTTATCCTGTTTCACAAGCTGTAGTTAGGTATGTTTTATTCCCATTTAAAAATACTTTGCCACTGAGTTAAAACCTTCATATCATGTTTAGTGGAAACAGTACTATCTCATCGTTTCCTACAGATCACAAGATTAATAATTTTGACATACTTAGAAATTGAATGAAGAAAATAGTGTACCAACACTTAAAACAGACAAAAAGTTATAAATAGAGAAGTAGTTTAGATTACTGTCACAAAAGCAACATTCTTCAGCAATTCCATAAGCACAAAATTTATCTGTCTAATAACCTTCAGTGTATTTCACATAATAATTCTTGCAGTAAAATCTTACTTTCAGATTAGTATTTGGATTAAAAACTATTCTACATCAGTAAAGAATTCTTCACGTATTCTATGAAAATTGTCATCACTCAGAAAATTAGAAAGTTCTTGAACAATGGTTGTAGAAAATAAAGCTTTAAATAACTACAGAGGTTCAGTTGTATCATGAAAATAGTTGTTGCCTCAGAAGAATTAAGTACTAAATTAGTATTTCAGTTACATTCTGCATGGGAACAGACAGGAATGGGAGGAATCAATTTATGTTTATTAACGTATGTAATCTGGATTTATTGTAGAGTGGTTTAAATTGAGACTGATGGAAGACAAACTGGCAATACTGACTTATTGAATTTCATTTCAGTAGTAAATAATGTAATAATTCAGCTCAATTAACTCAGAGTAAATGAAGATAAATGTTTACTTTTGAGCAAGGGATTCTAAATGTTTCTCTTAACCCAAGCATAGGTACTGAATGCTTGTGATTACTTATGAAAAACGAATTTATTCATTTTAACTACCTGAAAAAGTGGAGTAGATATAATTTGTTGTCATTCATACACTTACAATATTTAGCACTTTACAGAAGTATCAAGCTACTTTAATGTAAGTGAACAGCTGGTTTTAGAAAGTATAGGCTTTTTAAAAAAAATTAAAGAGTGGCAAGTCTACATGGACACCCACCAAAGAATAAGGTATAGATGTATAGACCTGAGGAAAGGCTGTTTCTATGAACCACTTGACATTTTCAACAAGCCAGGGTCACAGTGTATTTTTTCTGCTCTAAGTAGGTACCATAGTTTCCCATTTAACTAAAAAATGTAATCTGCTTAGGTCAAGACCTAAAAGCTTTGTGTTTGGTAGATGTATGTTGCTGGGTCCAATAAGCAGTGTTTTATTAGTAAAAATGCATAGCCACCCTTTGGTCTGTAGTGTAAAGCAGTTTTCATTCCTGAAGTCACTTATTACATGAACCAAATGCAGATATCAATATAAAATCATATGTTGTAGTTTTTAACAAGTTCACAAAGTGTGAGATATTGATGCAGAGATTGTTCTTTCAGATTTGTGTGGTGGGATTCTGAAATAATATTTTCAGAAAGTGTTTGGTTGTCCACATAAAGTTTTTTTCCTTATTGTGGACAACAGAAATTATAGATGTTGTAAGATTTTGATGGAGAGAAGATGTGTAATAGGATAGAAAATACAGTTTTCAACAGACCTATAGTTTTTATCTCAAGAGCAATAATTCTAAAGAAGTAACAAGCTTCAGAATTTAGATTTATATTGCAAGTAGTAAATAAGCCAAAAAAATTTATTTCTGTTCTCTTTTTTAATTTCTTTCAAGATTTTAGTTATGCTGGAAATACATATTTTTTTTTACCAAAGAGTAACTATGGATTTCTTCATGCTTCTGTTTTAATTCTTCAGACCCTAAAATGTTATTTGCTTTAGATGTTTCTTGTTTAAGCTGTACATATGCTGCATCTGTTACTGCTATGTGAAGTTTGCATACAATAAATCCTGTAAATTCCTAGGCTGCAAATGATGGCAAGAAAAAGTTTCTCTCAAAATTCAGAATACCAGCTCTTATTTATTTTTGAAAAAGTATATAATAGTAGGAAAAGACAACTCTCCTAGAGTAATCATGTAGTTACAGTTCTACTGTACTACATGAAAATTTGAAACATAAGAAGAATTTTGAGAAGAAATTGAGGTTTGAATGGTTGTTAAGGATATCATGACTTTGTTGTGATATTCCTGACTGGACTTAAATAATAATTCTTCCTGCCATAAGGCATGTGAATGTTGCTTGTCTAGAGATTGTATTCTTTTTTAGATGCAGAGCTGCTTGGGCTTCCTGGAAGCGCTTTTGAAGCAATAATCTTTCCAATTCAGTTTCCAGCAGCTAAGAATTAATTTTAAATCCATGTGAGAGTGGAAGTTGAGTTTGTCTATATAATATCATTGTTTTATTAAAAGGTTCTGGATAGAGCAGAACAGCTAAGGGAAATGGAAGCAAACATCCTGCCAGCGTTTCTTAGGCTTCAAGAGTTGGTGAGTGTCTGGAAAGAAATTACAATATGTGTCCTGCCTGTTGAAGGTAACTGAACATGTGGTATACCCTGTACATCCAGGGTCACAGATCAAGATAAATGATTCTTTAGATGAGAAAAATTGAAAAATTAAGCCTCGCTCCCCCAAAACAGTGGTCAAAACTAGAGACCAAACTAGAATTTAAACATTGGGAGATTTTTATTAGACACTCTTTTTTTAGTTGCGGTTAATTGTATCTTATTTACAATGTCTGATGTGTATAATCTTTTTAGGCTCATGTCAGATATATAGCTGTCTTTTCTAGGTTATTTGTCTTTTTAAGAAGGAAATTTTCAAGAGACTACCAGCTGTTTAATTTGGCTGGAGCTGCACAGCTCAGCAGCTGTGAATGTGCTTTGACTCGCTGGAGAGTTTTCTCACACTTCTCCTGGAATTGTGCCTCAGTAAATTTCTGATTGGAGTAAACCACAGTGTGCTTCCCTTTCTCACTTCTGAAACATCAAAACTTTTGCCTTGAAATAAGCAAAAATGGTACATTCCCTGAAAAGAAACTGAAGACAAAACAGTAAGTTCCTGGTACTTTGAAATATCTGAACATGTAAGTAGCTGAAATTATGCTTGTTATCGCAAAACTTTTGTGTAGCGCTCTTAATCTTCTGGTCACATTGATTTCTCTGCTGAATGAAGACTGATTCACAGCTGTGTTCTTATTCTTGACAGCTGGTGCATTTTCTGTCTTTTTGTCTGTTCTGCCCATGTTCTGGACTGGGCTGCTCCTGAAGCAGAAACAACCTGTTCTGCAGAGAAGGGGGGTGAACTTCGGTCTGTAATTGGTGTTCAGGGATCAAATCCTCATAGACTAAGACTTAAATACACCAGGAATGCCACTAGTAGGAGGGAGGGATATCATGGCACTGGTGGGTCACTGCTGAAGAATAGGTCATGGATGCTTGATTTTCCTGAGGATTGTGGTGGCAATTACTGGATGATCAGTCAGGAAGTGAGCTGAGTGTATCTTAGTACTTCTGTCAGCTGAAACAGGAGTTCTGGGAGAGGAAATCAACTGAAAGAAATGCAGGCAGATACTTTCTTGTTGAAAGGGAAAAAATATTTATGTTCTATAAAAATGAAGAAGAAACAGTACAAAATATGGGTGGGTGCCACTTCACCAAGAAGGGGAAAAAGTAAGTAAAAAAAGATTTTCACTGCATTTCAGGTAAGGGAATAGACATTTAAATTTCTTTCAGGTCATTCACAACACAGTTCATCAATCACTTCAATCAGGTTCCTTTCTTTTGTTTTATGGAAATTCCTTAATAGTTTTCAAATGTCTTTCTTGAGTAACCATATTTAAAAGCATCTTTTGTTAGGCAAAATTTTTAGTATAGTTGCAAAAACCTTGCAAAGAAGAGAAATGACACATCGTCTTCACAGATAGTTTTAGCTTCATATTCAGTAGCTAATATTTTGAAGTGTGACCAAAATATAACAATATTGTTTTTAATATGAAGCATTTTGTTACCTATTGATCAAACATCCAGTCTGAAGCATGTATTTTGTCAATAAAGACTTGGTTGCAAAAATAGATTACTGTGAACAGCCCCATTGTTGTTAACTAGTAAAACCGTTGGGAGAATAAACAGGTAATATTGCATTTTTGATTTGAGATGTCTGTGTGTTTGTTTTTATATACCAGATTGACTTTAAAATAAAGCAATAGATAGCTTGGTTCCAGAGGCACTGAGATTTCTTCTTGCTTTTTAGCTTCTTTTTGCTCTGAAAGTCTGTGTTTAATTACTAAAGTAAAATGTTCTCTTAATTTTGGGGTGGAATCTACTTGGTATTGTGTATCACCCCACAAGGCTTACATGTCAGTGAAATGGCAGGGGTTGGAGAGAAATATCATACAATTATAAAGATTTGCAAATGTATGATCTGCTTGATTAGGCCAGCTGAAGCTTTAATGCAAATTACTAGTCTAGAAATGAGCTGTAAATTTAATGATTTTTGTGAAACAGAAAAGTCACAATAATAATTTTTCTCATTGATGCTCTAATATGCACTTTTTTTTGTTATTTCTCTGCCTGTCATTCTCTCATTCAGTTTTTTCTATTCCCTGTGTAGACTGACAGAAATGTGACAGTTGTTCTGCTCAGTGAAATAGTGTGGGAACTGTTCCGTCCAAACATGGGATGCTTTGAGCCATTCACCATGTATTTTCCAGATTACAGCATAGGTAAACTAATTTTTTAATCTGCTTTTTGGGGATTATATAACACTTTGTCAAAAGACATTCCAAAATTTTTTCCAGGTTTATTAGTGCGTCTTTTACAGAACCCAAAATATGTAATAGCTACTGGAATGTTGAAGTCTGTATTCTCAGAACCTGTAAAGGTCTTGTCTTTTTCTGCTTGCCAGAACATCTCAAAGTAATGTCTTGATTCCATTACATTTGCTGGTTCTTCAAATATGTGTAGGTTTTCGTGGGTTTTGTTGGTTTTTGTTTAGTGATAGTTATTGTTTGTTTTCTACGAATGTGGTCAATTTATTAAGTTGGCTTGAAAACAGCAAAATTTATTTTTGTTTAAATAGGACATCTGCAGAAGATCTTGTCTCAGAATCATCCCCCAGAATATTCTGCAGATTTCTATGCTGCATATATCAATATTTTGCTTGGTGTCTTCTACATGGTCTGTAGAGACTTGAAAGAACTTCGGCATCTGGTGAGATGAGCTTCTTTAGAATTGCTGTTTTGATTTGGGATGTTTTTTGCCAAATGAAAGTCTAGATTTGTTGTTGCTCTGAAAGTCTAGATTTATTGTTGAATATGGACAAAGGGAAAATTAGAGATTATAGAATGATTGGATTGGAAGGGACCTTAAGGGTCTAGTTCCAGTTCCCCCTGTCATGAGTGGGGACATCTTCCACTAGACCAGGCTTTGAGGTTGCTCAAAGCCTCGTCCAGCCTGGCATTCAGAACTTCCAGAGATGAGGCATCCACAACTTCTCTGACAGCCCGTTTAATGTCTCACCACCTTCATAGTAAAAAAAGTCTTCCTTATATCTAGTATAAATTTGCCCTTCTAAGAGTGTGTTAGCCTAAAATGTAGTTGCCCTAAAAATCCGTAACAAAGGTTGCAGTTGTTTTGGTGGCTGTAAAGGGCTTCCAGTGTTGTGTAGTTTTCTGGTAATAAATTGAAAGTAATTTGAAAAAGGCATTTTAACCACATAATGTAATAGTAAACAAACTTAATAGAAGAAAATTAAGTTACTTGATGGTGACATTTGTATAAGCTTAATAACAATTACAAGCATTATCTTAATCCAATTAATATTGAATTAACTGTACAAGGAAATTTTACAAGTTTGACATGATCAGTTAAGAAATTGGTGCTCAAGAGATGATCTGAATGTTCTGCCTGTGTTTCCCTCAGGAACATGCTGCTAAATTTCAGCTGAACTTATCTGTTAACTATGCAGATTTTATATGTAAATGAGATTGCTGGAGACAGAAACAGACACCAGGGTCACAGTTCTTGCAGACATGTACTTGAATAGCTCTGCTTACGAGATTTTCAATAGGTTTAGATGCTCTATTTGCTTGTGCAACACTATGAAAACACTTGGGTGATTGCACCCTAAATTCTTTTTGTCGTTGGCAAGTCTCTTCCATAGAAGATAGTGACAGACACATAGAACTGAATTGCAGGCTTCTGAACTCGTTAGTGTCTAATACAGACTCTTAAATGTGTATGCTGTTATGTGTAATTATTAATAATACATTCTGGAATTTTATTAGATTTATAGATGGAAGTTACACTTTGAGTTTTGTATATTAGCACACATATTTAAAGTGCAGTAGGACAAAAAGAGAATGAAATCTGAAGATTGATATTTTACAAAATTCTGTGTGATATTGATTTAAACATTTTAGAAGAAAGTCTAGATTATAGTATTGTCAAAAATCTTTTAGTCTTACTCCTGGCAAAAGGATTTCATTTGCATATGGAATATTTAGCATATTTTTTAAATAAATAAATTTAAAGAAAAATTCTGCTTGTGTTTAAGCGTGCTGAACTTGTACTGGAAGGAAAAGTTTTATCTGAAAATTAAGGAAGTAAGAAAAGTTCATGAAAATATTTTTATTGCATTTATAATGATAAATTATTATGTTAGTTAATCAAGTACAATAAACAGCCGTGTAACCTGTGGTAGATTACTTCTGTTTTCATTTTATGGTACAGAAGTGATGCGATGTTTGACAGTATAATGTTTGTAAGCAAGTGGCATAATTATTGACTTAAAAGGGTTTGTTGACTTTGCAAAGGAATTAATTAGCACGCTAGTTATACTCTGTAGCTGGATCAGATAGATAATACTTTAATGTTCCATTTTTGCTTTCTTTAGGCAGCGCTCAATTTTGCTAAATACTGTGAACCAGTGGTCAGAGGGGAAGGTAAGGCTGTGTCTTCAGTTTGAGTGGGTGTATGAGAGAGCAGGTGCTGTTTGGTGGGTTTTGGTGAAGACACTGCTCTGATCTTTGTGCTGCAGTCACAACAGCATTGCCTACTCCAGTTTCACCCTGTCATTAGCATTTGCAGCAGAAGCCGTACATGGTATTTGATGGTGATGTTTTAGGAAACAAAGATGGAAATGCCCTAAATATTTTCCTGCTTCCTATAAATCTTTCTCCTCACTCAACCATCAGGACTTTGACAAAGTAATGGGATAAGGTATTTTTTTGTCAAGGCTCAGAGAGGAAAGAAACCAAGAGGAGAGGTTTCTCAAAACATAGAGAAACAGGCTTGTGTGGCAGCATTTGCTTTCTGAATGGATGACGATGGTGCATCATCCTAAAGCAGCATATCAGAGTCAGGATGTTAGACTGTGTTATGCCTGTGACTGTTCAGTGTCAGGGATGAGTTTTAGTGTTATATGAGTGAAATGTTTAACAGAGTTGATTCTGGCTTGCTGCAGCAAATGAACGCGACACCCGCAAACTCTGGAAAAATATTGAACCTCATTTGAAGAAGGCAATGCAGACTGTTTATCTCCGGGAAATATCCAGGTAATTTGGAGGAAATAGGCTTGTTTGCTTTGTTGAGGTTGCTGTTTTTAACGACTGTCCTCTCACTGTGTTTCATGGCTAGTGCTTCTTTTTTGCTAGATGTAATCTTTTTTTCTTTAATGTGCATTTCTTTCTTGCCATGCAGTGTTAGAAATAGCGTATCTCAGGAGGAGATTTAGACTAAGTGGTATTTGTAGCTTCAATAAGTAAAGCAGTGGCAGCAGGTTTTATTCTCCTTTACACTGATGCTAGACCCATTTTCTGTGATGTATGAAACTACCAAGCATGGGAATCCATCGCCAGAATATACACAGTTTAAAACACACTGCTGTATGTCTTAGCTCACCAGATATTCACTGTACCAAGGATGTGTGCAAGCCTCAAAATTCTTGAGACATTACAGATTTTGAGTATCTGTGTTTCTTAGCTTTGATAGAGCTAGGCTTGTTTGCTGACAGTGTTTTCTGATTCCTTATTTTCTTTTCCAAGGGCAAGTTTCTTCTTACATGGAATTCTCATTTTTGACAGCATTAAAAACTGGTGTCCTATCAATGACTATTGTTCTTGGTATTGTTTTAGATTCCTTGTTTATTTTGTAAGCTGCCAGACTGCTAGAAAAAAAGGATGGTGATGTTTATTCACAGTGGTAATAACTGGTTTAGGTTTAATGTTCTCCACCTTTAAGATGAGTGATTGATGTTACTCTATGTAAAGAGAGATCATTCAGTGTTGCTTGGTTTCTTTTTTTTGGTAAAAACAAACTGGTTTCTTTCCTTTAAATGTCAGTGAGGCTATAGAGTATTCTGGTCACAATCTGAGTGTGTAGTAGAAGTCTTTGCTAGTTCTAGAGATGTGATCATTCCTTCAAAATGAGAATTGATTTTGCTTTGTTCAAGCTAGACTTCACTGTAGAATGCAGCATTTTACTGTTTGGCTCAAATATATATTTATATTCAATATTGATCTTCATTACACAGTCTGCTCGGGATCTTTCTGACTTTTTATATTGTGTAATTGCCTACTCTTAATTAGGTTGTAATAAAAGATTATGATAGAAAATAGTTTGTGAATTGTTTCCAAATAAGTAATTTCCCTCTACAGTTTTCTTTGATTATAAATTTGAGCATGACTTGACTTCTATCAGAAATTCCAGCTTTCTGCCTCACAGTTTTACAGATTTACTTCTGTGTACCAGTAAATGCTTGAGGAATTAAAATCACTATATCAGTGTTTCTGGCTACAGAACTATGATGACTCTGTTTCTTTCTTGACCATGTAATTTATAGCTATAGAACTTTGCAATCAGCTCTTATGCTGTCTGAACTGAAAGGAAGATTAACCTTTTTCTTCTGCCTGTAAAATAGACATTGGATAAAACCTTAACTCACCGATGACTTGTTCTGTCATGCATTGTAATTTAAGTATTACCTGAACTCCCATTACACTGTTTTTATAAGTTTTATGGCTTATGGCTGATAAACTCTGTTCATGAGGAGCTTTAAAAAACAAGCCAAAATAGTTACTTCAACAAACCTATCTTTTTGTAATCCTCTTGTGATATACAAAATGATCCAAAATGTGAAATTGCTAGCAATGTCATTCCTTAAGGGAAGTTTAGAAGTGAATTTTTTTGCTATTGTTTAGGAAAACATCAAACTACTTGGGGGTGTTTTTCACTGGCAATATAACCCATCTTCCATTGACTTCAAAATTACATTATGAAGTAATTATAGTATTCGTCTCACAAATGTAAACAGTTATTAAGCAGATTGAAAAGAATCAAAACTATCAATATTTTTACTTTTTATGCAATTCTGCATTATTCTTGAAACTTGGAATGCTGTGGATATTTGCTTACTCATGGTAGTTGGATTGGAAGAAATTAATCTAGCAATTTTTTGCTTTTTTTAAAAGCAGATACATAGTCTGTAGATTATTAAAATTTATGTGCGAGTCAGTAAGAGCATGTATTTTTAATTATTCTCTCGCTAACTGTATTTTAGCCAGTGTCACAAAATTAGAATATGCCAAGCAGGTAGCTTTCTCTAAAAGACTATCAAATACTACATATTTATGTATTTGCATTATCTGTCTTTCAGCTCACAGTGGGAGCGTTTGCAGCATGATGGTGGAGAGGCTGGGCAATTGAAAGGTATGAAACACAGTAACTGTGTAGGGGCTTGTAATGTGAAATGTGCTTTTGGTTTGACTTGGTCATTGTCATCTGAGAACACGTGGATGAAACCACACAGACAAAACTACCTGCTAATATTCAGTTACAATTCAGGGTAATCATAGTTCTTTGAGAAGGTGTTCTACAAAGGAATATTTTTCCCCTATCATAAATATTGGGAGTAAACTTTCCTAATATCCTTTGCAGATAAAGCAGTCTTCTTTACATCAGTATTTCCTATGTCAGAATGGTTGAGGAGTGGCCTGAACCCTGATAGTCAAACCTGTGTTGCCAACTGGTAGAATTGTCCAAATGGGGAGAAAAGAATGTTATACCTGGTGTATTGCACTGAATTAGCACATTCCTAAACAAAACACCTATCCTGCGTCCAGATTTCTTGCAAAGAGAAATGTCAGAAGTGCAAGTGTTCTCCATGTTCTTTCCTTGGACAAGTAGAGCTTTGTTGGTTTTATACTTTAGATAGGCTGGAAGGTTGAATCTCAATATATTTTTCAGCCTTCATTTACAATTTAGGAAGGAATACTGAAATACTTCACTAGTGATGTCAGTTGGTCATGGTATTTTGACCAGTTTGTATTTAGGGAACTTTTTTTTTATATTATTTGTCATGACAATTCCTTGAGATAAATGCAATCATCAGACTGTTTCCTATGTTTGGTTTATGATTGGTGAATTTTCAATATTTTTGACCAAAAGAGTTTTGTTCAAAGTGTTCTTATTAAACTGTCTCCCGGATGATCATGAACTGTTCTGCATCTGACGACCCTGTAAAGGGAGACTTAATTTTAAATGTATTTTCATAAGTCTATGTAGTAGGAAAAAATGTCATATTTTTAAAACAGCATTTGATAGCAACATGCTTAAGAAGTCGTTCTAATAAATAAAATTCTAGCCCTAATAAAGGTGTAAATCATCAAATAGTTCACTGTGTGCTGCAATTCTGGTTGACCAGAAGAATGGAGAAAAAACAGATGTTTTTGCATTAAACTGAATTGTCTGTTTGCGAGATTTTATTTGGTGTTGCATTTTATAAATAGCATGCAGTGCAAGAGAATCTCTTAATTATAATGAACCTATAACTGCTGTTCTTTTATGCTTACATGAGAGGAAATCATTACTAGCAGTCATCTAGGATGCTTTTCCCTATACTGTGGACCTCAAATCATAACTTTTAAACATGTTTAATTCTTTGATCTTTATTTGCTGATATTTGTGGATTACAGCATAAGGGTACAGGTGCTTCACAGAACAAGAATCTGTTGAAGTAAAAACTGTAAGCAAAGAGGGCATGAGAGAGACCCTTTAAAGGTTTCTGTAATTAGCCAGCTGATGAAGGGTGGTTTGATGATCCTATTCTTACGCATAAGCATGTAAAACAAGAATAGAGGACTGTAAGGGTAAAAATTACAAAGTAAAAGTACTTTTGAGTTCCCCTCAAAAAGAGGGGAAGCAAATATTCACTAGACTGTAGTTCTTGTGGGTTTTAATATGTGTATTTAATCTTAATTAAGTATACATGTATACAAGGAGGCAGAGTCAACTGGATGAGGTTTAAAATTTTTAAAGCATTTTCTGTAGGAAGTAGAACAGTGGCTAAAAATCATTGATCACAGATGAACTGTTTTTTGGAAGTGCAGCACTGCTGCTTTCTTCACCATGCCAACCTTGTTCCTGGACAAGCTGTTTGGTGGTCTAGAGGAGTCTAAAACTTGAATCTTGAAAAAAATTGCCATTGTATTTAAACATATCCCTTAATCTGCCTTGTTTGTCAGGAAATTTCCCTTAAATTATAATAGCCTGGAATTATTTTTGTCTTTTTTTTCTGGAAGATTTATGAATCTCTGATGCTTCAAATACAGTTGCTGAGAGTCTGAAGAGGTTTCAGAATGTTAGCTTTGTTTAGCTTTGTGCTGTGCTCTTTGGCCCTTCCCTGAGTTTGCTTCTGTGATAATGGGGCTGAGAAAGTCATATTTACTTAGTTATGGCACTAGATCAGGAGAGAAGGAAAAGAAAATGAATGCAGGGAAGTTTAATTTGAAGTTTGTGGATGTTCAGGTTGGGTTTTGGTTAACTCGTGAACTGTTTGTTTATTTTATAGGACTTTCTGCACATACCCATGTGGAACTTCCTTATTACTCAAAATTTCTTCTAATAGCTGCCTACCTTGCCTCCTACAATCCTGTTAGGACAGATAAAAGATTTTTTCTTAAGGTAACAAAATGAATTTCTTAGTGCTGTTAACTGGATTCGTGCATACTGAATTTCATGGTTTAAAACTCTTCAGCTATTTTTTTGAGTTCTGTTTGTGTGTGCTTTATTTGATTTGATGAGCAACTTTTCTGTAGATCCCATACTGTCTTTTTCTTCTTTCTTTTCCTCCTGTGAGCCAAGTTGTGGTCATACTGTAGGCAAGTGCTGTGGTGCCATTGATGGTAGTTGTTGTTGTTGTATGTCTCTTCCTGACCAGGATCTTCAAGCTCCTCAAGCCTGCCTCATTGCTTCATTTTGAGTTATTTGACAAAATGTAGGTGGGAAGGCAGATATCAGAAAAGTGATCAGGCAGTTGGGCTTTCTATGCATTTTAACAGCTATTACAGTGTGTATTGATGTATGCATGTGTGTATAGTATGGCATTCATGATGGATGGGTGTAAGCAATTAAAGAAAATGGGAGCAAGACAAATTTGTAAAAATATTACTCCCTCTTAAAAAAAAAATCATAGATACACATTTTGAGAAGTTACTGCAGTTTCTAGTGATGAAATGTTAGTACATTTTCAGTTTAAACTCTGGTATGATCTTACTGAAAGCTATAGGTGTTTCACCCTTCTATTTAGTCCCTTCCTGAGTGAAGAGTTACTTTTTGTAAGTGTAGATAGACAAATTTTCTTTATGGGCAAACCTTGTCCTTTGCACTTGGAGCATTTTCTTTGTTAGAGATTTTTTTGCTGAAGAACTGTTTCTACACAGAAATGGGAAAGCATGCAAGAGTCAAGTCTGTAGAGCATGTTACCAAAATATGCCACATCTTCCTTGCATTCACTGAACAACCTTTTCAACTTTCCTTTCTCCTTTTGTAGTATCTCTGGGTAAGTTTCCACTCTTGAGTATGAACTGTATTAAACTTCTGTACAATAAACATGAATTTCTAAGGTTTTTGAAGCAGGAGTCAGGAAGGTATTTCTATCATTGCTATCAGGTATTTTTTTCCAAGACCTCATGAAGCAGAAGTCACCATTTTTCCTGCGAGTCATATGGTATCAGTTAGCCCTTCGTCAGATCTAAATTTGAACTTCAGAAATAGCTGCATCTCAAAGCCCAACAAAACCAACACTTTTGAGAGGGTTTCCAGCTGAGTATTTTTTTGAGTCATGTGAACAGTAGTAATAGAATATGATTTTTATCAGGTTTGTAATGAGATTACAGAAAAGTATCTTCTGGAGTGATTTTACTGAGGACTAAAAGAAACAAAAGGAATGCGAACAAAAGAATGCTTATTGAGTTGCTCATCTGCACTACTCAATAGATGCTAGCCTATACTACAGCTAAAAGTAAAGTCACAGTTTGGGGCAGCCTGGAATGCTAAGAGCCTGACAGAGCAGGGAAGTGATAATTGGCACCACTGCTATTGGTTATGTGAAAATTCAAAGGCTTTGTAGTAGATGGAGAGAAAAATAGGAAGCTGGTTTGGAGGTCTTTAAAACAAGAAAGACTAGGAATATGTATATAGGAAGTCTTTATAGAAAACTTTTCAGTTAAAAGCTAATTGAAAATTAACTCTGAATTTCATGAGATTTTGTGCTTGAACAGAAACAGGATACCATATATACCATATGGAGATGCCAGCATAACCTGTAAAATGCAGGAATGCAGTTTGTTGTGATTTATCTAAAGCATGCCGTGTAACCTCAGGCTGGATCACTTTCCCCTCTGAAAGGTCACGGTTATCACTGCAGTCAGTTTTAAAAATGCATTATATAATGATTACTTTGCTCTCTCTAATTGTGTTTGATATGTATTAGCTGAATTAGCTGTTTTCTTAAATCAGGCAAATCATGTGAAGTGAACTTAAGCCCTGACTACTATGTAGCTCTTCAGAAGTCAGTCAAGAAAAGACACATTTATTAAGATAATTGTGACAGGGCTGAGTATTGAGGACCACAAATACTAAGTACAAGATTTAAAGTAAAGTAATTATTTTTTCATTGAAGTGTTTGAGTTATTTTTTTCCCTGATTCACTAAGCTTATTTATTAGGTATATTAATAAGGTATACTTCTCAGGGCTGTGGAAGAAGGAGAAACTCATCAGTTGATATTTTAAGAAATAGCACTTAACTATGTTTAAAAATTATTACACCTCTTCACTCATTTTACATCACTTACACCTCATCCTTCATGCCTCTTTTGGATTTTTTGTTTCTTTTTTAACCCACTCCTTTGTAACATTGTTTACTGTACTTCTGCCCTTGTCTTGCCCTCACATTTTCAGTTGAGATCCAAGAGCACTTGACTATTTTCTTTCAGTAGTCCTTCCCTTGTTAAGGCAACTATAAAAATGTGCAGCTTCTAATTACGTTGCATTTCTTCAACACCCGCCTCTATCCCTTTACCCTCTCCTCTTCCTTCCTTTTGTCATTTATCTCAAGAACCTTGAACTAACTTTGTATTGTATTGATTAAATTCCTGGTTGTCATTCTGCCAACTTTTGTACCATCCAAATTCTAAAACAGGGTCGATAAAAGGTGAAAATTCTGGTGGATTTTATATATGGATATGTTTTAAAAGTTATGATAGTCATCATCTGTCTTTTTTATTAGATTATTGATGATATGAGGAGGATGGTAGCATGAAGTCATATTATAAACCAATTTTTACTACTTCATCTGTTCCTGAATAGATTAAAAAAAAAACAACTTATGCATATCACCAAAAAATATTAGCATGTTGTGTTTTGGCTTTGCACCACTTGGTACAAGGTGAAGCGAGAAGCTAGGCAAGTGTAATTTTAGGGCTTATAGTAAGAATGATTCATAGTGACATCAAAGGCAAATACTGGAAGTGTAGTAAAGAAGTAGATCTAGAGTAACATACTACCATTTGTAGTGTATACATTCTTTTTGAGTATTTTAATTACCTTTGCTCTTGTCTGTTGCTTGCAGCATCATGGGAAAATTAAAAAGACCAACTTCATGAAGAAGCATGAGAAGGTATGTATTTTATCCTTCTAGGCTGAGCTTGGCAGCAAGTATTTTCTTTCCACTGTACTTATGGGTCTGTTTTACATTTTGTGTCATTGATTACTGGAGAAACATGAGAATTGCAGAAATAACAATTTTTGGTGCACTTGTTTTGTATGCTACCAATTTCTGTGAGATACAGAAATTTTTATTTCATTTAAACTGTGGCATAGCATTTTCTCTTATAGCCATATTTTTGTGTACAGCAAAGTGTGTTTAATAAAGCTAGTTAAAGGACATCATAAGTGGAGTTGCCCAATATCAGCATTTCTCTCAAAATGAATTTTATATTCTTTAAAGAATTTTTATGCAATGATTTCTATAATGAGGGAAGTTGAAATATAGGGATAAACAATTACAAATGTTGTATATAAATAGCCTAATTTGCTTCAGTTGGTGTGACCATCCATGTCAATATACCTTTGCCCAGAGAAGTTTGTCTGAAGACTGATTTACAGATCAGATTCACCTAATTCTAGTGGGTGCCTGCATCTAAAACAGTTTATAGCCCCTGCAGAGTCAGTCAATGCAGTTGTTGGAGTGTTGTTGCCTGTCCGTTCCTGCTTGGCAGGAAGCTGACATTAGATGAAATAAATCCTTCCTTAAAAGTTTAGGTATAGCAAGACTAAAAGTCTATTTTGTGATTCTTAACTGTGTCAGTCCTGAGGCTGTGGGGTTTTTTTAACTGGAAAAAATGAATCTTGAGAATTAGGGGAAGAAACTGACTTACCATTCTATTAATTGTCCTGTTGCTCATAAAAGGAGAATATGTTTGGTTTCTTTGCATGGTTGACCTGGAACTACGCTTTTCCAGTGACAAGTGAGAGATCTTCTGGTGAATCTGTTCTTGCAGGTGAAACTTTATCAGGTGTCAGTCTGTCAGAAGATCAAATGTGTTGGTGTTGTTTTTATTGGAAAAGAGTTTATCTTGTATATCTGCTTTAGCTTCAGTCTAGGATTTACAGCTTGTGGCTGAACATGCTGCATTCATAGAGCAACCAGAGAAGTTTGGAACTGCTTTCTGTAGTATAAAAAAAGGAAGAGGTATCATTCAGTCTTCAAGTACATGCTATAAAGGTTGAAAATTCAGTCAGTTGTGGTTAAGGAGTTTGTTATTTTTGTGCAGATCAGTTTGGGTTAAGCTTTTGCTCTTTAAAGAACTCTTGGGGTTCTCATTCTTGTTTGTGAAAAGTTTGGAATGTGAATACATAGCTTGCAGTTGTGGGATGGTGAAAGGCTTTGGCCAGGTAAAAAGAGGGAACATGAAACTGGCACTACAGCTAAAAAGCATGAGCGCTCATAGTGGCAACTGGGGAAAAGTCTTTTAGAACAATGAATGTATTGCCTTGGTGGATGGGTGATAGAGGGCATACAGAGTTGATTTGACGGCTATAAAACGTTTTGACCAGGTTTTCTGACTGTGGAAGATGACTGGAAGACTCTGACTCTTTCTGAGAGACATTGAGTCACTTGCATTTTTATAAATACTATTCTACTTTATCTCTTTACAGAAGATATGTAAAATTCTAATTCCTAACCATGTTATGTTGGAAAGAATTTCTAAACTATTATTATTCCAAGAAGTTATTCCTTCCTTCTTCTAATTTTCTAGAATTAAGCATTTCTTTTAAATAACTTGTAAGCAGATTTCTGTCTAAATAGAGAACAAGAAATTTCTGAAGTAACTGTGTATACAGAGCTTCAGAGATTACTCCATGCTAATTGCATTTGCTAACTGCTTGGAATGCACTGGTTTTAATTAGTCTGTTTGACAGTAAAGAATATGCTTTACAGAACTGGCACATGTAGAAGCAGAAGGGCAGGTGATTGTACAGTTCATAACTTACACCACAACTGCATTCTGACTGAAGATGCCATGCTAAAATCTTGGCTATGTGTTTCCATGATTTTTCACACTGCATGCTTTGCTAGCCAAGAGGTAGCTTTGAGGACACTGCCTGGATTTGGAAAGTTAAAACGTGTGTTGGAAATAACTCTTGGTTTTGCTGAAGAAATGCGTGGTTGTGTTTTACTGATAGCTAATACCACAGAGGTCCTGGTGGTATATTTGAGATGTTCTCTCCCAGAAGCATTTTGAAGCAAACTTTCCCTTGAAAACCCTCTTTCATCTTGGTTGCTCTGCTGGTAAGAATAAATCAATGTACAATACAAAAAAGGCAGCTGGATGTCAAAGTAGAGAGAATTAAATGTGAACTTAAAATAAAACAAGTATTTTCCTTGTAAGAACTTTTGGAAGTGTGGGTCATAAATCTCTGTAGTCCTAACTATGCTGCCTGAGTTGGAATACTGCCCAGTTCTGCCTTGTAAATTGTACATCTCCTTTTTGCAGAATTGGTTATTTTGAAAATACTTAGCATCGAACAATCAAGACTTTGTATTTCTTTGAATTCAAGCGAATGCAATGTTACTACATACAATAATCCCTTATGCCTAAAATGGCCATCAGTGTCAGCAGAGGTGTGAGGTGTGCACGATGCAGAAGAGTTCTGTAGATGCGAGGTTGAGCATATCTGCTGTGTCTGATGAGACAGTTGCCCTTAGCTGGGCTGGTAGCTCATTGTACAGCAGGTCTTACCAGCCAAGAAGCTGACCTTGGGCTCAGCCATCTGAACTCTTGTTTTAACCAGTTGAACCTGGAGGAGGCATGTGCACTGTGAGTGTTATACTCTGCACTCTTTGCCTTGCCTCTGGAATACTCTGTCCAGTTTTGTCCTCCTCTTTTGGAAGAAATCTTGAAGCTTCCCTACCAACACAAGTCATTCTGTGGTTCTTTGGTTGCCATAAAACATAGCCTTTCCTCTTTATTCCTTAGATTCGGCAAGGTTATTAGACAACCCAAGTAAATGTATAAATCTACTGACAGGAAATTTGGCATAAGATCCTCTGTTACAGCTCAGAAATGTTCCTGTTTGCTGTGCAGTTTGAGTACTTGCCATATTAAATAGATCTTTCTTTCTATATCTTGATCAATAAACATGCATTGAATGTTCTCCATAACGTGTAAGTAGGCTGTATGAAAGTCTACGGTGAATCATAGTGCCTCCCTTTTGGCCATAGAGGCCAAAAGAATAAGAATAACATTGTGTACTACTCCAGGGAATTAAGAAGTGGATTAAAAAGTGTTGTTTCTGTTGCAGACCAGCAATCACCTGCTTGGGCCAAAGCCATTTCCCCTGGACAGATTGTTAGCAATACTGTATAGTATTGTGGACAACAGAGTTGCTCCAACTGCAAATATATTTTCGCAGGTTAGTGTGTATTTACTTTTTAATTTGTTTTTTAGTGTCTGGAATTCACCAAGTTTTAAATGTTTTTTGTAAGTCAGAATTCTAATTAAATGAAATGAAAAAACATCCACAGCAGGTAATTTAAATCAAAGGTTCAGAGTAATACTTATCTATGTTACTAGCTGTGAATCCTGTACTTTATCTGTGCAATGGAATGAAATCTGCTAATAGATAACTTTTACCTGATCCTGGTCTGTGGTCTGTACTAATCAGTTCCTTGGTTTCTCACTGCAATCTGTAAGCCTGTTTGCATTTCAGGTTAGGTATATAAAAGTTCACTGTCCCATGGGCAAAATTAATCACAATGTAACACACACTGCTACAAAAATGTAATAGTGAAGAAGAAGCCGAGGGAATAAGGTACTTAGAGGTGAACAGTTTTTGCTGTAGTACATGTACCTACTGTTTTCCATTTGGACAAAATTTAAGTCTTGCAGAGAAGAGTGAGTATCCCATTTCACTAGATGGCAGCATCGCTGTAGAAGTGAGTGGAATTAAGTAAATCCAGTGTTTTCTCAACACATCTGGGTTTGCCAAGTGTGTATTGACCAATGTTGTATAATTCTACACTCAGTTTGATTCTTGGATAACATTTCCACCTTAGAAATTCTCAATTTCTTCTTTCCAGTTGTAATTAGCTTACTGAAATTTTCCACTTTTCCTTGTTAGCTATCAAATTTAACCAAGTACTATTTCAATTTATTGTCTGCATTCATGTAAAGTTCTAGGAACATATGTGTTTATTTTTTAGGATGTTAGCTTTGTTTTCTCTTATTTTTGGCTATCAAAAGCATTTTGGTATACGCTAGATATGAATGTATTATATAAAAGTACTTTACAGTATGTTTTCAAAATTAGTGTAGCTGCATATTTAACAGGCATTCCAGGTAAGAGAACAAATGTCATTATTCCAATATACAGTTGAGTAGTACTGAAGCCACAATTTGTACATATTACAGTTCCACCTTAGGCTAAATTACAGAATGAACAAGTTCAATGAAATGCTTTGTTCTGATTTAGAGTTTGCACTAGGTGGCAGTGTTATCAAAGAATAGTTCTAATTCTTTATTTTCTGAATATCTGGAGATTAAGCTATACAAATATAAAAAAATTGTACATAATCTCAACCAGGTTAGGACAAAGCATGTGAAATTAAATATGTTTATACAAAAATTAAATTTTATAAATTATTTAAGAGCATTTTTAGCTATAAAGCAATTTTTATATTAAATTTTAATTAAAAATATTGAAGTGTCCACTGCAAAGTAATAAAAAATGCAACAGAATTTAAAATAGGTTAGGAAAGTAGTTTAAACTAGGCATAATATTTAATTGCTTTTCTTTCTTGAATAGTTTAAAACAATTTGCATTTCAATGATTTTTGGTTGTTCTGTAAATATAATTTTCAAAGTAAATATTTAGGAGCTGGCTTATCCTTATCAGTATTGTTACATTTTACTTTTAGATAAAACAATCTTAAATTTTTTATTTGTGTGATCAGCATGGAAATAATAATAAAATTATAGAGAAGTTTAAAATGTTTATGTCAAATATTTGGCTTCTTAACTGATTAATGATTAATCTTATGCTCTTTAATTTGTAAACTCAAAGGCTGTACATGAACCAAATGCATATTAATTCTCCCCATGTGCTCTCAGAAAATAGCATGCCTTAGCTTTAAAGTTGGTCAACAATCACAGTCAAGATTCAAGAAGGACTAGCAGCTGCTTGAAGATATGTCACTTGCTGATTTCGTGGTATTTCTTACTGCTTGTTATTTTTTTGTGTAGTTTCTATTCATGTGAAAATTTTTGTTATTAGCTTTTCAAAAGTGATACTTCTATGCTAACGAGGAGCAAAATTTCATTTTTCCTCTTAATGGTAGGTTTTATTGAAATTGTTTAGTTTTTCTAAATAGATTTTCAACTTAAAATTTGAATCTTAATCTTTTGCCTTTAAATATTATACTCTTCAAAATGGTCTCATACTTTTTTTCAAACCAAGAGATAGTATGCTTGTTCTACAAGTGTGATCTTTGCAACCAACACAAAACTAAACAGCTTCTGCTGTAATTTCTTGCTGTAATTAGGTTACAGGAGATCAAATTGGGCTCATTCATTTTTGGTTTTCCTCACTAACTAGTGCAAGAGAATAGCACAGGGGGGTGGGGGAAGCAAATTTCCACTTCTGCAAAAGAGAGTTTTTTAATTCCTCCCTTAAGAGTTGAAATTTCTCTTGGGTTTGTGCTCTTTTTAATCAAACTTTTCACACATCCAGTGAGGACCTTTTGAGACAAAGTTAATGTAAGGTTTAGAGGTTTTAATGATAGCATCTTCAACTCAGTACGTGTATGAATTGTTTGTATTTGTTTGAGATGTTTCTGGTGTTCATTTTTCTCCAGAAATTTCACTGGTTTTCTTACTGATTTGTTATAATACTGATTTTTTTTTAGCACATTGTGTATTACTATAACAGGTTACTGAATTTATTTGCTTATTTTTTAAACCAAGAAGATGGAGGTTGGAGCACTATTGATTTCTGGAGGCATTTGAAAGGACAAGTTCTTAAAATCTTTTTCTTCGGATACAATTTTTGTAATAATTTAACAGATTGAAGATGACACTGCAGTGACCAATGGGCAGTAGACTCTGTGCTGGGACAGAACTTGCACAGTTGATGGTCTCTTTGGATATATGGCTGAGCAAGGGTTTTAAAAGGTAAAACATGGAGAAAATGGTGAAAAGATGCAGGTGCGCTTTCACACAGTGCTGAAAACCATGTGACTCTGGGGTATGCAGTCTGCATCCTACAACAACAGAGAAGTCTTAGGGTTTCCTTACTTGATACACCAGGAGTATTATTTGTGTCCCCATGTGGACCGCTGTAGGAAGTATTTATTGTGTCCAAGGGCAATTACAGCAGAATGGAGGGCTACAAAGAAACTTTGTATAGCTTCATGAAAACACTGCAAAATTCTGCAAAGGTTCCAACAGTCTATTCAGTCCTGGTTTGTATAAGAGTAGTATTTCATTTGAGGCTTCCCACAGAAAATAGACAGAAATACAAACATAATGCTCTTCATAAAAATATGCCTTAGTATAGGACATAAATGAATTTATGCACAAAGAATTGGGCAAGAATTATCAGCACAAATTTAATTTAAATGAAGTTATTTTACATTGAAGAGGATAAGGGCTGTTCATATCACAATCAATGAGCAAGTAGATATTGTTGTTATGGATTACAAGCCAAAATAAACAAATGTTTTTTTCTTTACCAAAATCATTCAGTTATTGCTTCTTCAAGTCAATTCAGTTCTCCTGACCATTTTTCATTTTCTAGATATTTTAGCTTCTGCTTTCTTGTGAAATAGCTTTTCATAAAGAGGATTGATTAGATCTACTTGTAGTTTTTAGCTATGATGTTATCTAAGGTAAAATGGAACAAAGCCCTTTATCTTGCCTACTTTTGCATATTTTATTTCTGGTAGTACATCCCTGAATATTTGAAAAAACATCTGGGATAACTTCTCAGAGTATATAATAGCTGAAAATCACCAAATAATCAGTAACTTCGTTCTATTTACATTTTTACTCTAATGCACTAAAATTAGGCCATCCCAGGTTTGTTTTTAATGTTACTCTACATATTTGGCAAATAGTTGTATAGTTAGAATTTACTTCTGACTATACTGCATTTGCAATCAGAGATTTCTAGGAAGGATGTTTATGAGTGTATGGAGACACATCAGGTATCTTACACGTAGTCTGTATTTCATTTATTAGACATTTATTATCTCTTTGCTGATCTAAGAAAACCATTTGAATTTTCTTAAGGGTATCAAAATTCATAGAACTGATTTAGTTATAAATGTGTAAGAATTTGGAAAGAAGGCTAAAAAATTAATTTTTTTCAGTCTTTCATAAAGATAAATACCATTGCAAATTGTCCAAAGAGTAAGAACTTTTCATCTGAAATTAAAATAAATGGAGATATGAGATTTTGAGTAGTCTGTTAAGTGCCAGTATGATATGGGTCTATGAGAAACACACAAACCACTGATGTACATAACATAGTTCCAGCTGGAGGGAGCCAGAGGAATGTAGTTTTCTGTAATTAAGAGAAGGAAAAAGTGCCCTTTCTTGTAATGTAAGAATTTGGAGGGATTTGTTTTCTTTTTTCTTGCCTTCTTGTCTGCCTTACATGATTAGAATAGGGAATATCTAATATTCTTTATGAAAACTGGAACAGTATGAAACAATTTACCTTCTAAATTTCTTTGTCCCTGTTGTGTTGGAAGCATGCTTTATTACTTCCTTTTTCAGATGACAATTTGATGTTTAAACTGCCCTTTATTTGTAAATGGACAACTATGGTAAAATTTCAATTGCAAGATTGGAAAGAAGTCTGGTTTTGTCATCTACTTACTTGATTTGTATTACGGCTTATGTATGTCACAGCTTTTCTAGACACTAAATATCCACATCCTGATTATAGTTCTGTTACTGCATTATGCTAGGTTCCCTTGATGTAGCAATTTGATAAAGAGGAATTTGATTCTATGATTCTGTAGTTCTGTGATTCGATTCTGTGAATACTGTTAACAGTTTTTTTTCAAATGGAAAGGACTCTTAATCGCTTCTAAAGGATCAGATTGTATTAATGTTTAAAAATAAAATGGTTTTCATTCCACATTTGACAACTTGACAGAATTACTCATTTTTGCTAGATCAGCTGTATTGTGTTCCAGCTTTCCTTGCTGTTGCAGGGACTGCTCATAGGAACATTATGCATCTGATTTTAACACTATTATTTAAGACTAACAGAATACTCTCCATTTTAAAAGTGAGCAGGTGAGTTAATTTCTACAGAAAAAGGTCTGGTTTAAAATGTATATTGTCCTCCACTGTTCCCTGAGAGGCCTTATTATGAAGAGTAACCATGATAAGTAGAGCCATTTT